TCCCCACACCGGGTCAGTCCGACCACTTCGCCCTTGTCATCAAGACCATCAGAGACCTCCCCACACCGGGTCAGTCCGACCACTTCGCCCTTGTCGTCAAGACCATCAGAGACCTCCCCACACCGCGTCGAGCCGACCACTTCGCCCATGCCGTCAAGACCGTCAGAGGCCTCCCCATACCGGGTCACTCCGACCACTTCGCCCTCGCCATCAAGACCATCAGAGACCTCCCCACACAGCGTCGAGCCGACCACTTCGCCCGTGCCGTCAAGACCGTCAGAGACCTCCCCACACCGCGTCGAGCCGACCACTTCGCCCATGCCGTCAAGACCGTCAGAGGCCTCCCCATACCGGGTCAGTCCGACCACTTCGCCCGTGCCGTCAAGACCGTCAGAGACCTCCCCACACCGCGTCGAGCCGACCACTTCGCTCATGCCGTCAAGACCGTCAGAGACCTCCGTGTAAACCAGACACTGACTTGTCAACTGGTTGCCCAACTGCAGCAATTCCAATGCTTACAACCCGCACAAACTGGCCAAGCCGCCATTCCTCGTGGTGATAAGGTCCGCCGGTGTTTGGTTCAAATGGTTCACCAACCAGCTTAAAAATGAATGATTTTTTACATAGAAAACGTGTGTTTGTTCACACAGGTGCCGAGCTTCGTGTGCTAACCGGCATGATGGTAATGTCAGCGAGTTGTGCAAGTATTTTGTTATACGTCTACCACACGCACGTCTGCACCATCGAATTTTGACCTACCTTTTTCGAACCAACAACGCTGCCTACCATCGAAGACCTCCTTCACTACCAGCTATACCTGTTCCGCGTCATGCATGCCCTTCGAACTCATCAACGCTCCAGCCACGTCCTAACGGATGACGACCAGACTCCTCGAAGATCCGTCTAGGGAGTGGATGTCTGGTTTACATTCACGACATCCTAATTTACGGCAACTCGTGACCGTCACCCCCGAGCGTGACCGTCACCCCCGAGCAACTTCGAATCAGTACCCCAAAAACTGCGCAACCATGAAGTATTTCTCAACATCCGCAAAAAACCACTTCGGCCTGTCCGAGTTCGAATACTTGGGCGTCGCCATCCGCGACGGCAAGATCTACCCCTCCAAAAAGTCCATCGCCACCATCCAAGGCCTCTTACCCCCGGAATACGTCAGTGGTACCTGCGCAAGTTCGTACCCGACTTCGCACCCTCGTCAAACCGATCCAAGAACCCAGCACTGCAGAGGAATTCGTCTCGTCCGACGAACACCAACGGAAGTTCGAGGGCATCAAGCATCTACTCACTACGTCCCAACCGTCACTGTGTCTGCCGCCCTCCGGAC